TTTTGCAAACAAATACAGAGGGTTAATTACCAGTTATGAAATTAATACATATACAAGGGCAATTTTTAAGTTTTTTAGATACGTATTCGTCAGGAAAACTATACTTTTCGAAAACTCATTATGTGATGTGATGTCACACTGGTGATATTTGCATATGAAACAAAGTTGAATATCTTGAAAAGGGAGCAAGGTACCAAAATTCTATAAAAGAAATTATTAAGTCATTTTAAGTGATCTTTACAATGCAACCATAAACCTTTGGGGTGAAATTTCGTGTCATAGGCACTTTAAGAGCTCTCTTCACATTATTCCAGTGGCTCTTATAATTGTCCCAATTGTAAGATCATGTAGTATAAGGTCATGTACCATGTAGTATGTGAAGTGGATGAAAGTATATGGAGCCAGCATTGTAAACGTATCGGCTGGAAGATCTGGAAAACAAGACCTTATTTACCGATGGAGTAGGTACTGAGATTGGGAGGTTCACTCTCCAATTCAGTCCTCGTGTGAAAAGAGTAAAGTCAACGCTCTGCCGAAAGTCGTGGGTTTTCTCGGGGCACTCCGGTTTCCTCCTACAGGCAAAGTTGACGGGGTGGGTTAGGTAAAAGGGGCGACAGTAATTGGCGGCATAGGCTGTTGTTGTGACCCTGCCCTAGTTGGCAAATAAATAAATAAAAATTACAGCGAGGATTCATTGTAATTTTAAAAAGAACAAAACAATAGACACTCCGAAAATAGCTAACATTTTAATCAACGTTTCGACTAGGTTTCAAGTCATCAGGAATGACGCTATTGAAAAATACTAAGATATATATTTACAAGTTAAGCGGATCAAATTACGCGCTAATTAAATATCACTAGTTCCTTAGAGACTTTAGTTCCGTGATTAAGTTCCGGTTTTTGGCGATGTATATGTAAAGACTCCTTATATAACAATAATGACCAATGTCTAGATTTATCTATAATAGTACAGTTTTGGTATATGATGGCTTCTGTGGTATCTGGATCAAACTGATCTAGTAGTGTGTTAGGTAGGTTAAGTAGGGTCTGGAAGTATTGAAAATGTTTACATGACATAATATTCATTGTAACTAACCGCACTTAGAAAGAGGAATTGGGATTGATGAGGATTGGGAAGTAGAGCCTAACTAGAAAACCTTTTGGTTAATTTAGACTATAGGCATTTCGTTCCACAAGCATTATATTCTAGTATTACTTTTGAGGATTATTACTAAAAAATTACTAAAAGAATAGAATATTTAATAACTTGTAACTTGTTCTGTAAGAGAATGTGAATAAATTGTATTGTATTGTATTGTATTGTATTGCATTGCATTGCATTGCATTGCATTGCATTGCATTGTATTGTATTGTATTGTATTGTATTGTATTGTATTGTATTGTATTGTATTGTATTGTATTGTGAATAGTTGGATAGGGAGAGTTGAACCTAAGGCAAGATACAGCTACCTGGGGTGGGACGTGCGTGAGCCGGAAAGGAGATACCCCAGCCTAGACCTAGGCCTTCAATTTTTATTTATATTTTTTTAATATTCAGCGCTTTTTCACATGAAAAGACTGGGACTAGGTAATTTGGGGGCGGGGCGGAGGAAGGACACAAGCCTGACGCAAGCGAAAATGCTTCCTCCGCCCCGCCCCCAAATCACCTAGTCCCAGTCTTTTCATGTGAAAAAGCGCTGAATACTAAAAAATATAAATAAGACTAGAAGGCCTAGGTCTAGGCTGGAGATACCCATACTTTAATGCTAATAAGACAGTAGGAGGGATAATGTACTATTCAAACACATTGAATATTCATCATCCCTCGTGATGACGTCATTGCTGCCGCAGCGAGCGAGCCTGAAGCGAGCGAGCAAGGCAGCAGATCCTAATTTTGTTTTGTGGGTCGAAGGCAAACAGGCAATGTGATCATGTTTCATCTTTGGTCTTCTTTTATGGAAAGCCATAGCTGGCTTAAAGTGATCAAACGGCATTTTGTTGGGTGCTTTTAGCATTATACGGCGGTGCTTTTGGCATTATACACGGTGCTTTCGCCATTATACGCGGTGGTTCCAGTATTATACGCGGTGCTTTCACCATTTATATACGCGATGCTTTTGCAATTATACGCAGTGGTTCGAGCACTATATGCAGTGCTTTTAATATTATACGCGATGCTAGCTTTCATTCAACATTATTTCCATATTCTTTCCATGACATGTATATGATTTAACGATTGCTTAAATTTGGTATGTGCATGGTTGACAAATGCTTTTTGCCTATGGTCTGCAAGGACAATGACATGCTTTTCTGTGTATATACATGTAAATGAATATAACGCAGCGAATGCGCCAAACAGTATAAACGCGGCTGAAATACGATATTAAAGGACATTGGCAATCAAAATTTTTATTACTTATATCTATTAGGTATACTTACGGAATATTTAATTTCATATTTTGGCCGGTTTGTCGCGTTTAGTCGCTGAGAAAATTTGATTGAATTTGAGAAAATTTGAACAGTTGTCCGCCATTTTGAAAATAAGCGCGTATGCTAATTTATGCCACAAAATACATTATCTGACGTCATTGGCTGGGTAAACACAATCTCATGACTATAAACAATACCGTGTATTACCACGCGTTGTGCATTTTGAGCAAAAACAAAAGGCAGAAAAGTTTTACCAAGTATGTAACTTGTTTGTAACACTATTTCTCATAGTATATATCCTACTCCGTGTTAAATAAGCGCAGAAATTCGAGTGTAACAAGGCAAATACTAATGCAATATTTTATGATCAATTACCTGCATTGTAAATTGCGCCATTTCTTGCTTTCCCAGTCGCTCGATATGTTTTTATCTGATAGTGTAGACTTCTCTTGTTTGATTGCGAAGAGTGTTGGCCAGTATAACGCTCAAAACGACATATTTTTAGCTAACATAACACGCACGCAATAGAATTCTCTCTTGTAGTTTTGGTGTTACCCAGCCAATGACGTCACAAAGTTCATTGACCTTCGAGATAATTTTTCAAAAATATTTTCCAAGATGGCGGCGAAACTGGCCGAAACACAAAGTTTGCATGCATTTTACTTGTAGACTAAAATGTTCAAGAAGGAAATGATAATATTTTCATAGTTCGGTTGTCAAGTAGGATTGAAATAGACAATAAAAATTTTCATTGCCAATGTCCTTTAAATTAAAGTGCCGTATGATTTAATTATGTTTTAGGATTTACAAATGCTTTGTCATTTGTATTTATACTTGTACTGCATCACAAGGCAGTACGTACTGTAAGTGAAAAAACTCCACATGTGAGATTGTCTTGTATATATTTTTGCTTTCTTTGATAAACACTATTGAACACGCAAATTTTAATTAGTGAGACGCAATGTTAAATGTCACCTGCATGTCATTGTCATTGCCCTTTAACCCCTGGTCTAATTGGCCGCTTTTGAAAATATTGATCATGACGAACCGCAGTGGCCTTAATTAAATGCAAACTTTGTGTTTTAAAAACGGGTTAGGATAAAACGCGCATACGGACGGACGGATGAATGACGGACGGACGGACCGGACGGATGACATATATATGTCGTTATATAGTCTGCGCGCAGCCGCGCAGGGTAGTTAGTGCCTTACGTCTTCGCTGGTTGTTATACTTTAAAATAATTTTGTATGTACCGAGAAGTCAATATTCCGAGTATATAAATATTTAAACTGGGATGTCACACTGTTAGCTTGTTTACATTTCCTGGAGCATCATGAAATCTTATGTACCACGGTGGTGTAACCCATTAGCTGGCAATGCGCCCTTCCCTTGTCGAGCGCCAGAAGATTTTACTCGTCAGTGGTATAGGGTACTGCCAGTAAATGGGTTAACAAACCTATCTGCCAATGGCTCTTGTTAATTCATCAGCACAGTAATGACCCCTACTTTAGTATTTACCCTGTCCAACGCCAGACGATTTTTAATACTCAGTCAGTGGTAGGGTACTGTCAATAAATGGGTTAACAAGGATAACAATAATTAGCCTGCATGGCAGGCGGTATTTCCCAGGCTTGCCCAATTTTAGGAACCGCCTGCCATGCAGGCTAAACAATAATTGGATGTTTCTGAAGGACTCGTTCAACACCCTGTAGTTTGTCTTTTGCTGTCAAAGGCAGCATTACTGCCCTGTGGGTAACCTAGTTAGTATTATAAAATACTAAACTAATTATGCAAGGGTGTCAGTTGGCAACAGGACGCTCGCAAGTGAGAAATTGTCCGACCCTCCCACCCATGGCTCTCCTGCTGGCTTGTTGGCACCAACGCTACTCTGCTGTCGTTAGTTCGACAGGAGATACCAATACCTTAATTGCTAATAAGACAGCAGGAGGGATGATAAATTTTTGTTTCTCGTGTTATACACTCATGTGAAGATATATGTTTGTGATGTTGTCTGCGAGTTATCTAAATTGTTACATTTATCTTCTTTTTTTTCTTGGAGAAGTATTCTCCGAGAACCGATTTTGATGAACGTACATAAGTTGTTATAAAATTCAGCAACAACGAACTTGAGTCGTTTAACAGCAAGCATGCCTTTTGAAAAAAAGATAGAATACACTTTTTTGGTAATCTGCAAATACCCTCTAAATTACTCAATAACAGAAACCAGTTATGATATAACCATATAAAATTTCTTTGCAGGCGATTCTTACGAGTTACAGTTGTTGAACAGAAAATCGGCTGAGGAACCCCGGGCACGTTTTGGTCAATCTTGGCTGTACAGAACGCTTATCAGTATAAAGTATAAGTCATAATATTTTGTTAATGTTATAATAGATATTTTATTTACAAAAACAAAATTTATCTACAAGTACTTAATTTAATTAAGCATAATTTTTTTGCAACTAAAGATGAATATAGTATCGTATATAGTTTAGTAATGTAACGAAATTTCACAAAAATACCTCTCAAATAGCCAGTTCTTTTTATTTTATTATTCAGTAGGCAAGTAGTTGATTATTGTTTCAAAGAATCTGTTTTCACCACTTCTCTAATTTGTCGTCATTCAAAGTTATTCACGTTATTCTAACATGAAGTATAGGATTTAAGATTTAATCATTAATTTCCAAAATATTGTTTATTCTCACGACAAAGTTCAATGTTTTTACCGAAAAAGTTCAATGTTTGTGATGATCATTTGATGGTTTCAATTGACCATTTGCGTAATAGACCTTCGAGGCTGTCAATTTCCGGTTTGTAATCTAAAATGACTGAAAATTGCAAATTTCGCAAGGCTATATTTTCCACATTTTACAACATTTTGCAACGAAACTTTGGAATATTACTAATTTTGTGATGCTCTTTCAAGCTGTAATGAAATTTTTGTTGAGATAAAAATTTAGTCTATTACGCAAATGGTCAATTCGCTCAGCCAATCAGCTTGAAGCTGGTGAACGTGATTGGCTGATGAGATTAAAACCTGTCAAGTGCTCTTGATAAACATCGAACTTTCTCGGTAAAAACATTGAACTTTGTATGTATGTGTGTGTATGTGTGTGTGTGTGTGTGTGTGTGTGTGTGTGTGTGTGTGTGTGTGTGTGTGTGTGTGTGTGTGTGTGTGTATGTGTGTATGTAACGTATGTAACCGTTGTAACGTATGTAATGTATGTATGTCACGTGAATAGGCAATGTATGTCACGTGTATGTCACGTGAATAGGCAATGTATGTCACGTGTATGTCACGTGAATAGGTAATGTATGTCACGTGAATAGGCAATGTATGTCACGTGAATAGGCAATGTATGTCACGTGAATAGGCAATGTTTTTATGAGCAACCGTTCATCCTTAGTTAACAACTGAGGGATTAATTACACTGGCCTGTAGGCCAAGTGTCTTAAATCCCTCTTTTTCTGTTTTCTTCGTCGTCGAGAAATGGAGCTTGCGAACAGGTGGGCAATTTGTCGACGCTGACCAAAAATAGCGGCTCATTTCTTCTTGAGTCGCCATTTTCGCGTCGAAGAGCAAAAATATAGACTTCCGGAGAATATTTTAGCTGTTTACTATCAAATATGTTTGTGAAATAGTTCATAATCTCACTGAGGAAAGCCAACGGTTTCTGAAAAGCTAAAGTACGTCGAAATCAGCGTTGAAATAGACTATATTTTCACCGGGGAAACATGAACTAAATGGATATTTACATCAACACTAAATTTTATTCGTGCCTACAGAGCTAGTTGGATTAAAACAGATGTTAAGAAGTAAGTGAAAATGTGAATTTTGTGAATTATACTTTCATTAAAATGTTTCAGAAGGGCTGCTAATGTCAAACTACACGTGTGACAGAGCTGTCAGTATACCCATATTTCAATGTTTATGTTGAAATGGCCCATCTTCTTTGAGGTATAGCTTAAAAATTATGGTATGCTCATCACTTGAAACTAGCTTTAAATCAAAGTTTTATCTATAGTCTTTTTATTAGAATTGAAATCATTCATGGGAAAAATGTGCCAGAGGGTTGAAATTGCCCTTGTAAATGTACACTATTTTTTATATGTTTGGGTTAGTATTTTGAAAAGGTGTTCTGGAAGGAAAATATGTCTTGAACAATACTGGTTGACCTTTAAATTATAACTAGTGTTATGTAAATCACAGAAAATTGAAAAAAGTCTGGTCCATACACAATATTTTGGAATCTATGAGGTCCCGAATGCGGCTTATTTCAATGTTTAATCTGTTTACCTGGAAAACATAGAAAATTGAATAAGTCAAGAATTTGACTATGCTCATCACCCAAAACCAGGTTTTTCTAATTGCTTTTTCACCTGGGTTTGTGGCAATACTAGTTATGTATGCGACTACGAAAAATGCGCGCGGCACTTTTTTTGGACACTGAAGATGACAACATTTGATGTTGTTATATATTGCCATCCTCTTATCATAGTATAACTTAACTTATTTTAGTGAGTTTGTTAAAGAATTGTGCTCACTATATGCCTGTAGTATCTACGATTTATTTCATAGCATTAGATGATAAATTTAAGTTCTGTTTTCTTTTATTTTTAGGTGATAGTATCTGTTCACATGTGTGTTGGTATCAAATTTTGCACAAGATTAAATTATTATTTCACATTCCTTTATTGAAATATCCAAATAAATGGAATGTGACATCAAGCTGGAGGACTAAATACTGTTTCCAAGCTTGTTTTTGTAAAAATAGAAAATAACAACTTACTATGTGTTGTTCTAAAATAAAAACTATGGTTTTTGATATGCATAATTTATTATTCTTAATTTTTGAAATTACATTTCATTCTTTGTTAAAATGTGTACCAGGAATACTGAAATCTTTCAGATCAGCTAGCAATACCTTTGTAACTTATATAGCCAAGTGTTCTATCTATTTCTGTTCAGATTAAACAAATGATGCGTAAATTATTAGATTATATTTTTGCAAAAAAATGAGCTTGCCTGTTTTCAAAGCGTAAAAAGCAATAAAATAAAGCAAAAGTACTTATTTTCGATATAAAACCTTTGGAATGCATAGCTTAATGTTTTCCACTAAATATTACAAAGTTTTCGTTCATTAAAATGTTGTTTTATCAGCTTTAAAACCAGATAAATTCACGAAACACTCCCAATATATGTCGCCATATTGATTTTCTTCGCGCATGCTCAGACAAATTGCCCACCTGTTGAGCTTGCGTTAACTCGTCCAGGCTCAGGGTGCAACGATTAAGCCAACATGCCATCGATTCCCCTCGGTTCCGTGATTTAGATATTATAGTAACAAGCTCGTATTTATGTACGTAATAGCCGGCTCATGCCATGCTTGTGGTACATTTTTCGTTTATTAGCCTACACCCTTGTACGCACGCGCACAATTCCGAACTCCAAGGATAGAGTGCTCATATTCAGTTCAGTTTCAAAATGGCGGTTTTTCACTGAGTGACTAATATATATTTCACACAGTTTCGTTGAATTTTCAAAGAATTGTGCCGGTTTCCTATGGAAAATATGTTGTGTTGCACTCTGGACTCTCTTGCGTGTTGAATTGATGTGTTTTTCTTTGTGTAACGACTCGAAAACCCCAAATTTGGATCCAGCGAATTTATATAACATAGTGGATTAAGTGGAATGTAAACAAGGACAAATTTAAGGTTTGACAGTTTGACATTTTTAAATAACAAGTATAAATATACGTTGTAGACTCATAATGTAAATGAGCAATCATATGCAAATGATTGCATAATCATAGATTTGCACCTAATTACATTAATTTGCGCCAAATTACTTTCCATTTCATCATATATTACTATAAAAATGTACTTTTTTATTGTATTCAGCAAGGTGGCGTTGCGTGCGGCGAAGTCAGTGAAACGTGATACGGTTCAATTTGTTTTTGGAACAAGATCCAACTTTTCCCCCCACTTTTTAGTGTGAAGTTTCTTCGAAACTTCACAATATTGTGAGGACTGGGGAGAAATTCAAACTTATCAGTCAGTCAGTCAGTCATACAGTAAACTTTCCAAGTACGATTTATGTTTGTAGTGATTTATTGTACTTAGTGCTTTGAAGGTTATTTAGGCAATTTCAGTTGTTTTATTTAAATATTCTTTTATCCTTTTGCCAAGTTCACAAAAATTTCGAGGAATCGTTTTCGTTAATGTAATTTTTTTGCAAATTTTATAACATTCGCTTCTCATGTTGTGTAAAGGATCTTTACCCCGGAACACCCGATTCTTTCTTTACCAGCGCAAATGCGCATGCGATATCAAGCCGTCTGTGATCACGATGGCGTGACGATATGCTAGGAAGGAGCGACAGTGTTGTTTTCAAATGTATATATAAACATTTCAGACGTGAATATTGAGTGAATTTCTCAGAATCTACGCAATACAGTGGAACCCCGTTAATACGGTCACCAACGGGCCGAAATAATATGGCCGTATTAACTGGGTGGCCGTATTAACGGGGTGGCCGTATTAACGGGGTGAGATCAAATTTCAATTGTGACGTCATTAAAGCTATGTTTATTCGAAAATCACAATAACACCATACCCCACCATAATACCAATTAATAACTACACATTATAAAGTTCAGATAAAGTTTTCACTAATTTTAAGGAAACACTGTTAGGGAATACAACGTCGCTAAAGAACCTTGTATTCTTTCTTTTCCTTTGCGCGACTGATAATAAAAATAAAAAAATTAGTAATATGATGCAACTTGAATTGTGTGTTTCACTGCACAAAGTGTCTTAAATTATACTGCATTTCCGTCCGTAAACACATTTATTTTTTTGAGTGACCGTATTAACGGGGTGATTTCTTCAGTTCGGGACTCTACAATATGGCCGTTGGCCGTATTAACGGGGTGGCCGTATTAACCGGGTAACTTTATTATAAAATGTATTAGTGTTTTGCCGGGACAAAAAAAAGTGACCGTATTATCGAGGTGACCGTATTAACGGGGTAGCCGTAAGGCGGGGTTCCACTGTATATAAATTGATGTTATGCATTACGGGCATTCAATTAAGTGCCGATATTATTTAGACGGTATATTCATTATACAGAGCTACAATCAGTTTCAAAAGTCTTGGGACAGATGACACAAAACCTTTGAATTTCAACAAACGACAATCCCCCCCGCCCCCTGTTCAATGTTGTGTCCCATTTCTCGTCGGGTTTGATGTGTTTTGGTTTAAACAACATTGATTGGGGTGGGGGGAGGGGGAGCGGAGCGGTATTGTGTGTAAAAAGCTATAATGATCCACTTACAAGCTAAAACTACATGTGTCCCAACCACTTCTGAAAGTGATTGTAGGAAGGAACTAGACAGTGCTTTTTTCAAGTGTATAAACATTTCAGTCTTCAGACGTAAATATTGAGTCGAAAATCTTTGAGATTCTAGGCATTCGATTGAGTGCCCGATATTATTTTCACGGTATACTCATTATGCAGAGGTAGGAAGGAGCGAGACAGTGT